TTTTAAAGAAAATTCTAACTTTGACTATTCATGCGACTGTACGGTGCTCATCCATAACGCATCGTATCCGTCAATTTATTAATGCTGCCACTGCTATATAAAGCATAATCCATGTCTATTGCAAAGTTCATTGAGAGCTAGGCAACCACTTTGTCGAACCGTACGAAAGAACGTACTTTTTCTTAAACAGGATAAACACAGCCTTCAGTTTGCAAAACTTGAATTGAGTTCTAGTAGTCAGTAGCTTACAAACTGAATGCTGTGTTCATGCTATCTAAGAAAAGTAAGTTGTTGCCTACGGTTTTAGGAAGTGGTTGCACAGGTTTCATATGATTTCGCAATAGACATAGATCATCCTGTATATAACAGGGGCAGCATTAATAAATTAACGGATACCATGTATAAGGAATGAACACCGTACATTCGTATAAAAAGTCAAAATAAAAATTATCTTTAAAACCGAAGGAAACCATTCCTTAAAGGAAAAAAATTAAAGAAGGCTAATTTTCTATCAAATACGTACAAGAGAGGACCATTTCGTGCAGCTTTCCATAAAATATATTTGGATTTATAAAGGAAGTTAACATCAGTGAGAACTTGAGTTTCCTGATAGATACACCTGCAGCTTTTGCTACCTCCACTCATTTCATTCTGGCCTCTAACATACCTAAAGGTAGACCTCTGTCCTTTCAGCTTCGCGCCATCATATTATGGTCTTAAATTCATGTAACATGCCGAAGATCAATACCCTCTCCCTAATCGGCATTGAGTCAGGTTTTCATACTGATAACCATGTAGTCTATTCTGAAGGCAGTTGCGTCGCTATAAGATGCTGGCTTTTAAACCAGCTTCATTCTGAACGCTAAAAAACATATGCATAGTAAAAATTGGCTAGCTTACTAGTTTGCACTTTTATAACTGATTTTGACCGCGTTTGTAAATGTAAATATATTTTGTGGAAAAAATACACAACAAATTATTTCTTGTGCTCGTTTAGTAGGAAAGTACGCCTTCTTTACATGTTGTACTTAAAGAAAGGATACATTTTCGTTTTAAAAAAAATTGTAAATTACCTAATAGCTTTGAAGCCTGCTGACTTCTACATTTAAATTCAAGGTTTACAACCCACGTACTGTGTACATCCTGTTTAAGGACAAATATATCTTCGCCTACGGACTGAGGAAGAAGTCACATAGGTCTCATAAAATGTTGAAATAGATGTGGATCACGCTGTATAAATTATAGGCAGCATTAGTAAATTGATGGATGTGCAGTATAATAAATGAACAACTTACAATGGTAAAAAAGCTCATTATTAGAAACGTTTATTAAACCGTAAGATAACCTTTCTTTAAGTATAAATTTAAAGAACGCATAATTTTCTATCAAACAAGTACAAGAAGTAATTTTTCGTATATGTTTTCCAAAAAAATATATTTGAATTTGTAAAAGCGGTCAAAACCGATTGTGGAAATGCCTACTACTGAGGTAGCCAATTTTTACTGTGTTTGTCTTTTTTAACGGTCAGAACGAAGCCCCCTTATTAAGCTACCATCTAAAAGTGGCTTAAATTACTTCATAATAGACTAACCGATAGTCAGTATTACCGCCTTATTCAATGCCGATTAGCGAAAGAGTATACATCTTCCGGATATGTCGGCATGTTACACGAATTTTAGGCCATACTGTAGTATCCCAAACAGTGCTTTCTGCAAGTTGAGTTTTCTTTTAGATCCGCACTGCTGCAGAGTGCAGGAAATGGCAGGATTAAATTTAGGGGTCTTTTTTGCCTTTGACTTATAACCATTACCTGCTTTTGCATTTTTAATAGCCCGAATTTCCCTTTTATCGTTATGTTCCACCAAAAGGAAGTCTAACTTTCATTTTTGTTAAATTTCGCCAATATAAGGTTGAATCTTCTTTAATTTATATTCGTATTCTGCGCAACAGGAACTTATGGTGATGGAAGTTTATTCTATTTTAGGATATTGAAACAAATATTACCTTATTTAATTTAAATTTTTTGATCATTTTTGCCAAGATTAAATACTCATTTATGTTAAATAGCCAAGAATTAAATGTTTGACGATACAATACGTTAGGTAGTTGGGCAGGGGGAATTGATATCTAAAGGCCCCTACAAGTCACTTTTGCCCAGGAAACATTGTGTTCAAAGGTTGTTTTATAAATAGGTCACCAACCAATGAGATTGGAGAATACATACAAATATTTCTAACTTTTTAAACATACAGAGGATTTGAGGGCATCCTATGATCTGGGAGCAGGTCTAAATTCGAGCGTTCAGTCCCACTGGACTAAATTCTCTCTACAACATTGCCTATCCTCTTGAAAACCCTTTTATTTTTCTTGATTTCAAGTGAGAAAATTTAAATTAACGCTCAAATAATTATGTTTACAACCATACTCCACCAACCAATAGAAACTGTAGCAGTGGGCACAAACGCTATCAACACAGCGGTGGCAGTCCCTGTAACTGCCTTAAAGGATCGGGGCAAATTCAAAGTCTATAAGGGACTGGTCAAGAATCGCATTAGGGATTCTTCACTCCTACTTGTTCGTTAATTTTAAAGCCTTAGTAAATATAACTGAGGAAACACAACAATACGGCAAAGGAGGT